TYYTYYTYYTYYTTTTTTTTTTTTTTTTTTTTTTTTYCSGKTTTKATGTATCGCGATCTACGTCTCCCTCTCTCTCTCTCCTCCTCCTCCTCGTCTTCCTCGTTTAACACGCCTGTCTCGGCACGAACGCTCTCGTGCGAGCAGATTTCTTTTTTCTATTTTATTTATTTATTATTTATTTAATATTTATTTAATATTTATTTAATATTTATTTAATTTTGTGCTTTCTTTGGGGGCGTGTCCGAGCGGATTTCTATCCTGATTTGGGTGGGTGATAACTGGCTGGTGTGTCCTCTCTGTCTCGGTCTTTCTGCCTCCCCTATCGTTGTCTCTCCCGTTCTCTCTCTTCCGCCCTTGTCCCTCTCTCTCTCTCTCTCCTTCACCTCTCCCCGTCTTTCTTCCCCTCTTCCTCTGTCCATCTCCCTCTCTCCTCTTTCTCTTCGTCCTTTTCCCCTGTTTGTCTACTCCTCGCCGCCTACCGTCTTCATCCGGATAGAACGCCCGGTCATCATAGCCGTATTTGGCACGACTTTCGGTCCAGATGCAGCGATAATGACCACGCATTCTATTTGGGTGAAGACGCTAGTCAGTCGGCTTCCTTCCGAACTGTTCATGGTGTGCTCTCTCCCTTCTCTCTTCTCTCGATCATAACACCCCCCCCGATCATGAATGAATACAAGCTACTTTCTAGGTTCAATGCAGACCTGATGGGGGTGCGCTGTGTCGGGGAACGACCGTAGCGGGAAGGTAATCAACGATTAACGATTCTCCGCGGGCTCTTGTGTTTGCCATTCTTGTTTGAGCACAGTCTCTTCAACGGACCAGAGTAGAAAGATATTGATTGATGAAAGGGATTGGGAATGCGAGGCGGCATCTGGCCCCGCTGGCGCCCAGCTGGGGCCACGTGTACAAATTGGACCCGGGCCAATCGAAGGCCAAGCGTGCAAAAGTTTTGCCGGGCCGAGGTGTAGAAGAGGGGCCCTGGCGTGCCGCAGTTTGAGGAAGTCCAGGCCAGATGAAGCAGAGGCAGATCACCAAAGCCGCAGATGCCGTTCAGGGTGGCTTTCAATGGGCATCTGGGTGCTTTTTTTTTTTTTTTTTAAATGCCCAGGGTGTTGTAGAGGCCAGTTACTTCCGTCTTCCCCCGAACACAACGCACCCTAAAAATGAAGGTACACAAGCTATATTTCCGGCCAGGTACGGCCAAAATAAGGGTGCGTTGTGTTCGGGGGAAGACGGTAGGGGTAGCCACCACACATTGATCGCCTGGAGCGGGGTCAGCCATGGCTGTCCTGAGGGAACGAGGCTACCTCCCATCCCATCCTCACATCTATACTCCTAGCGCACGTCCTATTCTCTACTTTCCTACCTCAGTGTGACCAGCACTCAGGACCTTTACCCCTACTACCTTCTTCCCCCGAATACAACGTACGGTCATTATACGTGTATCTAGACTGAAAATTGCCCTCAAATACAGCTATAATGACCGTACGTTGTAATCGGGGGAAGAAGGTAGTACTAGTATCGAGGGGAAAATGGACATCTGGATCCTAAAGACGATGGATGGGTGGCACACAAGGGAAGAGTTTTGATTAAGTGTTTGCGCCTGAAGTCTGCACCCCAAGTGGTGTGAGTGGTTCACAAGGGAAGAGTTAATGAAGTGAGCTGGTCAAGTGCTTCTACACAAGGGAAGAGCTCCGCAATAGAAGCAACGGCATGAAGATTTAAGGACCCTGCAGAGGGCTTTCGATGTAGGGAAAGGAGGAGGAGGGGAGGGGGGGGAAAGGGGGGGGGGGGGGGGGATGGGGGGGGGGGGGGGCGGGCGGGGGGGGGGGGGGGGGGGGGGCAAATTGGACCCGGCCCTACGTGAAGGACGGGTGTGCAAAAGAAAAGATTTGCCGGGGCTAGAACAGCCCCATCGTGCGGGAGAGAGAGGACTGCCAGGCGCAGCCTCTGCAACTAACCGTGTGTGGGAAGAGAGAGAGAGAGAGAGAGAGAGAGAGAGAGAGAGAGAGAGAGAGAGAGAGAGAGAGAGAGAGCATATCATGTGCTTCGTCCATTCACGGCGCTTGCCATGTGCCGCCGTCTCCCACCAGATGTGTCAGAAGAAGGCTGAGGTTTAACTTGGAAGGTAGTGAGTGCTTGCAAACTCGCAATGAGAGGACACTCAACTGGAACGCTTTACCTCAGGGTAAGAAAAATAGGGGACAATTTCTTGATGATGCGGCCCCACAAACCACGAGATTATCTCATGAACTTAAGAGAGTACACTTACACTAGGCCCTCAAAATCACAAAATAGCAAAATGAGTGGCCAGATGCAGTCGTTCCTTTACAAGGAGTCAATCTGGCCACTCATTTTGCGATTTTGCAATTTTGAGGGCCTAGTGTGAGTATGCCCTTATGATGATGCGTTTGATGAGTGGTCATGCTGAGGAGGCACCAACATTACAATGCCAATGCCGTCTCAAGCAACGGCAAACACCACATAATGATGCCATGTAATTCCACAGATGGTTAACGGGGACCGGTTCAAAAATTGTGAGCCCAAAGTTTATGAGTTCTTCTTCTTTTTTTTTTTTCAATCCATAATTCTTCCACCCCTGCACTCTATATCCAATGCAGGAGATCGATCACCAGCCGGCGAGAATGTCAACAAAACTGCCCACGAGAATCGCTGGCACAAAAAAAAAAGAAAAAAAAAGAAAAACGGAAAAAAAGAAAAAAGAAAAAAAAGAAAAAGAAAAGAAAAAAAAAAGAATCGCCGGCGCCATCAGCCCTGATGCGCCAACTTGAGGTGCGCTGGTCACGGAACCCTGCTTCAAGACCAGAATCCAAGGAACCAATCAATAGGAACACGAATTTGAGCAACAAAAGACTCAAAGCAGAACAAGTATATACACGAGCAAAGTAGAAGGCAGATTTACAAAGCCCGTAGCACCCCAAAAGAAAACACACTTGCACTGCAGCCTCTCGATAACGGAAGTCCCAACTTCTCATCTCCACTTATCAATACAACCACCATGTAGCTTCTTGACTATGATGTGACCCCTCCACTACCTTCCTACTCACTCTCTGCACCCATACCACTTTCCTCTCTCTCTCTCTCTCTCTCTCTCTCTCTCTCTCTCTCTCTCTCTCTCTCTCTCTCTCTCTCTCTCTCTCTCTGTCCTCCTCGTCTAAGGATGCTGTAGCGTCTGACCACCTCGAGTGTGCTCTTTGTCATTGCAAGGTAAGTATGCGGTTTCCCAGCAGTCCGCTGATGACCCCAGCCCCAACACCGCCTCCTTAGGTTTGTGCTAATTACAGCTTTTCTGCTTTTAATGTCACTTCCAGTATTAGCAGGTGCTATTACTATGCTGTTAACTGATAGAAAATTTAATACCACTTTTTTTAATTGATCCTGCAGGAGGAGGAGATCCTGTTTTATAACTTTTATTTCAATATCTATTTTGGTTCTTTGGTCGGGATGGCCACCTCACGCACCGCAGCTATGGCTGCTGCTGGTGGAGCAGCGTACCCGTTGCTGCCCGTTGCTGCTCCCCCAGTTCTTCTTCGTCAATGCTCTGGTCTGGCCGCTGGCATTGAGTCAAAGCTCACGGTGGCATCCAGCAGCTACGAATGTGTCGTCTGCTGTGGCCTCCTCTCCTTGTCGACTGCTAGAGACCCCGACTGCCTGGCTGGGACTGGTGTTCTTCCCAGTCCCAGGCTGAGAAATAAGGAAGCAGCAACTTTAGGAACGAAACAGAATCGAAAATTCGCTAAATTGGCGAAAGATCCAGAAATTCAGACTAACTCAATCCAAGCTCGGGGAACACGTCAATCGAACTTTGTTGAGACTTGCAACAAGAAAAATATCGAATGAACTTTCAACGAAATTTGCAGAAGAAAAAAAATGGACAAATTTCGGAGGAACCTTCAAAGAAATTTGAAATTGGAACAGCAGTCCTATGCAGAGTAGCGGTTAATTAGTTCCTTGCCCTTGATTAATTAACCACCAAGCAAGCGGTCAATGTTTCAGGCCTGAACTCCTCCATCAATCCACTAATCAATCAATCAATCAATCAATCAATCAAGCAAGCAAGCAAGCAAGCAAGCAACGAGTAATCAATCAAGCAAGCAAGCAACGAGTAATCAATCAATCAATCAATCAATCAATCAATCAATCAATCAATGAGTAATCAATCCACTACCTGAATAAAGCTACTGACTTGATGAGCAGATGAGGTGGTCTCCTTGGTCTGGTCCGTTACCAAACTGTCGCATGCCTATGAGTAGCAGATAGGCATGGCGCAGGAACCAAGGAATCAATCAATCAATGATCAATCAATCAATCAATCAATCAATCAATCAATCAATCAATCAATCAATGAGTAATCAATCCAACTACCTGAATAAAGCTACTGACTTGACGAGAAGATCAAGTTGTCTCTCTGGTCTGATCCGATACCAAACTTTCACGTGCCTATCAGGTTGTCTCCTTGGTCTGCTCCGATACCAAGCTTTCACGTGCCTATAAATAGCAGATAGGCATGGCCCAGGAGCGAAGGATCACCATGAAGAGAAACAATGATAACAATGCAGCTGAGGACTGAAATACACAGATCTGACTCATCGGGACTGGGGACCAAATGCAGACATCCATCATCACTCGTATGCAGGGGTGGACACAGTGGCTCAAACATAGAAGGTAGCCGCCATGTCCCAACACATTCACAGACAAAGGGGGATGAAGGTAGAGACAAAGAGGGGAGAAGAAGGCGGAGACCACAACTTGATATCCCTGCGAAAGAGTAGTCTTCACAACGGCCCCCAAAGTCTCTGTTCAGAGCACAATGTCCGAGTCTGGGCAATCACCCGAACAGTCACCAAGTCCCCAATCTCTCTCTCTCTCTCTCTCTCTCTCTCTCTCTCTCTCTCTCTCTCTCTCTCTCTCTCTCTCTCTCTCTCTCTCTCTCTCTCATGGAAGCAGCCGAAGAAGAGATGGATATGGAGGATGATCAGGGAAGAAGAAGAAGAAGAAGAGGAAGAAAGAAGAAGCCTCCTCGCTGTCTCTCTTGTAGCCAGATACTAACCAGCGAAAAGACGCAGTCTTGAGCTGTGCTGGTGGTGGAGCGGCCTGAAGACGATCTCCGGCTATGGCGTCCAATAGGTAAGCCCTCAGGTGAGTCCTCTCTCCCTCAGCACCTCCTGGCCTCTACTCCCTGTTCTCTTATCTTCCCTACTCTAGCCTAGCACAGCTAATCTCAACTGCTGCTCCAGCAGCATAGCCATATCACTCCCAGAATGCTGCGTCCCAGAAGAGAGGCTGGCCCAGCTATATATAGTGCTGGGCCTACTGAATCCTACCTCGACCTGCATCCTAGGCTGTCTGATCGAAATGCCAATTGATTGCCCAGGACGCAGACCCAAATCCTGGTCGTCTGAGTCCTGACCAAAACGGCCTGCCTGGGTCCCAATTGGACGGCTAGGATCCTCACAAAGGACAAACCAGGGCTCTGGACCAAAACGTGATTGAGCCCGAATCTAAGTGTGCTAGGCCTGAAAAACAGCCGCTGAGCCAAGAGCCTAACTCAGTGGGTACACCCATGAACTATTGAAATACAGACCTGAGTTGGAATCCAGATGATGATGGAACTTGATGAGTGAAAACCAACTACTAATGAATTGCTTGGGGCCGGTCAGCTCAATGATAATATCTCAAGGTCATCGCCCTTTAAAAACAACAACAACAACAACCAGGTGCTGGGCCTGAATCAGGCCAACTGGTCCAGAGGCAATACCGGTCTGGATGAATGTTGAAACAACACCTGCGGACCGGACAAAAACAGGAACAGACAAGAGGAAACCAGAACAGACAAAGAACTGAACATCAACAAATTGAACCAGAAAAGTGCGGACGACCCCAAAAAATGAAAGAAAACACGGCTGGCAGCCTAGCTCAGTTGGTAGAGCAGAAAAATGGCATTCAGGAGGTTGTGGGTTCGCTTCCCCACAGTCTTCATTTGAGCCCCCACAGCCTCCTGCGGCTCGCTATGGGTCCCCTGGTAGGGCTTGGTAGGGTCTGTTCCGCTTCCATCCGTTGCCCGGGGTTAGGAAGAAGCTGCTGTGCTGAGACACAGGAGGAGGTTGGTGCCAACCCATAAACTCTTAGGAATACTGGAAGCTGGACTTGGATACGAGGTTAGGTTACTTAGGTAGAGTGAGGTATATGGGTGAAGAATATAGCTTAGTTTTTAATGAATAAATAAGTAAATAAAAGAAAACACCCCTCCAACGCACACTCCACGACCCCTACGTCAATGTCGGGTCGTGTGGGAGCCGTGCATACCACAGACACACACACACACACACATAAGGGGGGGGGAGAGAGAGAGAGAGAGAGAGAGAGAGAGAGAGAGAGAGAGAGAGAGAGAGAGAGAGAGAGAGAGAGAGAGAGAGAGTTGTCATGTCCTTTTTCCTTTTCTTTTGTTTTCAAATGTAATTCAGAACTTCTGTTCTCTTTTCTTTTGTCCTGTCCTTGCGGATGCAGCTGTGACAGGTCGTCTAGTGACAAGAAAAGGAGGTGCAGGGAAGGACAGATTAGTCGGTGCTTCATTCTGGGTATCTTTGGTCTGCCTGCAAGTTTTGGGGCTGATTTTGAAAGGAGCCCGGTTTCCTGCATTACTGCACGATCTACAATAAAAAGGAAGAGACTGTGATAGATCAGATATGGATTCTTTCCCTCCATATCAGGTAGGATAATACGGATTCTGTTTTTTTTTTTTTTTTTTTTTTTTTTTTAATAATCTTATTCGCAACTCGACGAACAGAGACACTTGGTTAACAGTCACTAATGGTGAACTTCTCACTCTGTTATGTCTGGCAGGTAAAGAGTCGTAAGCTTTCTGTTTCTGCTGTCGGGCATCACTAACGTCTCCGAGCTGGCATAGATCCCTGGGCAACTTGAGGCACAGAGGATATTTTGAGGGTTGCTTCTTCTACCCACATTTCAGGAGAATAGGTCAGGGATGGTTTTTATTCTTCTGTAGAGGAGCCTTGGGTAAAAGGGGTGGTACAGAAGACTACCTGGGTGTTTGTGTTCAAGTACAACTGGAATCACAGAGAACGCATTTGGCAGTTCCTTCTTCTGTGCAGATTTCCATCTAGGAGAATAGGTTAAGGGAGGCTGTTGCTTCTTCCATTTTGGGTTTGCAGTCATGTAGTTTATATCTTACGTCCAAGAGCTGGTGCTCGAGTCCTCGTCACCATCTGGGGCCTGTTTACCTCGTACCTATGGGCCAAGTACTTACTGTCGGTAAAAGCTGCTGCTGCTGCTGCTGCTGCTGCTGTTGCTATTGCTGACATGATATTCTAGAGTGTGCCTCGGAGTTGTTTTTCTAGGCTTTGGTATAGTTTGGGGTCACAGTGTGGAAGCTGGAGTTTGCAACAGAGGAGGAGGAGGAACAGGAGGTGAGTGGTTGGGCTCTTTAGGAGTGCAACAGCCACACATCGGTCCTATCCTTGAGCCCTGATGGCAGGACCGGCTGCGACGGCAGGCAGTGGTGGGCCTGCTGTCGGTGGGCAGACATTAGGACCTGTCTCAGCACAGCCAACGACAGGAGGGAGTGGGAGGCGGCGTGGTCGACCAAGTGGTACGTCATCCCAACCGGCATCGGCAAATGTGGTCAAAAGCGCTGAAGTTGCTCCGGCTCCACGACGGAAGAAGCGCAAGGTGCCGGAGAAGGAGATCCCACCACATGTTGCGGCGTTCATACCGGAGGCAATGATTTACAACCAGCTTCTGGAGTTTGAGAAGCGTGTGGACTTGACGTTGGCACGAAAGAAGCTGGACATACAGGAGGGGCTGAAGAACCCAGCGCGAATGCCCCGCACATTGCGGATGTACATTTTTAACACTCACACAAGCCAGCCGCATGGGCGAGGAGGTGGCGAGGGAAAGGAGGACGGAAGCAAGGATCTAAGAAAGGTTGCACCTGGTGGTGACAAGAGGGTGGGTGAGGATAGCAGGGGCGATCACGGAGGGCCGAATGGGCCTCCATCGTGGACGCTACGTGTTGTAGGCAGGCTTCTTGAAGATGAGTCTCAGGCAGAGGATGATGGGCCCAATGGAGCTGGAAATGCTGCAGGGGGTGTGGGGGCTGCAAATCCTATGGCCAGTGGCAACAGCAGCAATAGCACTTTCAAGTTCTCTACCTTTTTCCGCCGAATCACGGTGGAGCTGGATCATGAGCTGTACCCTGATAACCATACTGTGGTTTGGGATAGCGAGCGTGCAGTAAGCCCTGTGGAAGGGTTTGAGATCAAGCGGCGGGGGGACAAGGAATTTATCGCAAAGCTCAAGTTTGAGTTGAATCATGTCCCGGAGCGGTACAAAGTCTCTCCAGAGCTTGGCGAGATTCTGGGAGTCCAAACCGAGACCCGTGCACGGGTGCTCTCGGCCCTATGGCAGTATATTAAGTCGCAGTCTTTGCAAGACCCCTCAGACCCCACCTTCATGATTTGCGATGCCCGCCTCAAAGCGATTTTCAACGGCGAGGAACGCGTCCGCTTTTCTACTGTGGCAAGACTCCTTCAACTCCACCTGTCTCCAGCTCCACCGATCCTTCTAGAACACACCATTGCGCTGGGCGATAGAAGCCCCGCAGGTGACGCTTGTTATGACATCTCAGTCGATGCTCCAACCGGTCTTATGGCGGAAATGGCAGACTTCATGGCATCGATGGAGAAAGCCAAAGAGATAGTGGAATGTGATGAGGCAATAGGGAATGCTATCCGGAAAATCAACGATCTTCGTCGACGTAGGGCATTTTTCCTGGGATTCAGCAAATCTCCTGTGGATTTTGTCAATGCACTTGTTGCATCCCAAAGCAGAGACTTGCGTGTGGCTGCCGGAGATGCAGGGAGAAAGGCAGAACGAGAGCGGCGCTCCGACTTTTACAATCAGCCATGGTATGTGTTCATGGAACTTCATTCACATTGTTGCCGCTTTGATTTTTTCTCCATGTGGCTGCTAACCTGCTTCCCTGCACCAAATGAGGGGTATTTGGCAGCAGCAGATTTGGCCTTCTTTCCATTATCCCCTGTGCATACTGCTCTCCGTTCCTCTTCATTCTTCCTCAATTGTTTGTCTTCTTCGTGGTGAAAAAAAAAAAAAAAAAAAAAAAAAAA